TTTATACACGGTGCACTTTCAGATTTAAACCTTTGCAGGATGTTTTCATTCACAGAATTTTTATATATTCTCATCTCGCATCCAGGCCAGTTACACAAAGCTATTAAATTATTAATAATTTTGACGGAAAACTTTTGCGGACGATTAGGAAAATTGATGCTGTCCTGAGTACATCCACTCTTATTTTGTTTAAAATGATAAATGATTAAATGATTAAAACAAAAAAATTTAATGGATTACATGGAATGTGTGGTTTAAAGGGGTCATATGATGCTTTTTTAAAGATCATTATTTTGTGTATTTGGTGTAAAAGAATATGTTGACATGCTTTAATGTTCAAAAAACACATTATTTTTCAAATACTGTACATTATTGTAGGTCCTTTATGCCCCGCCTCTCTCAAATGCTTCGTTTTCTACAAAGTCCCTCCTTCCGACAAGCGCAGTCTGCTCTGATTGGCCAACTGACCCAGTGCATTGTGATTGGCCAATCAGAGCAGACTGCTCTGATTGGCCAGCTGACCCAATGCATTGTGATTGGCCGAACACCGCAAACACTCGTCGGAAATGTAACGCCCCTTACCATAATCGCGAGCTTCATCTTTCAAAATAAATGTAAAGACAGAGCCCGAAAGGAGAACAGAGTCTCGTGACAGACACATTGGGTGCATTATGCAAATATTTCCACATAGTGATGTAGATATGTGGGGGCGTGTTAGAATGAGCCGTTTTAGGGGGGCGTGGCAGAGTCTTAAGTTTGATAAAGAATATCTCTTTGGTTTTGAGACTTTAGTCTTTGCAACTTCAGGGATCTTATCTATGCACAATCAGCTTGTAACACTCCATAGAGAAAGGAAAACTTGAAATCGCATCATATGACCCCTTTAAAAAAATATATAAGACTATATAAGAAGTGTCACTTCCTCTCTGTGATTCAGAGTGAAAGCACAGCAGTACTACTGAACACAACCCTCATCCAACTCATGGAGAATGGAGACCTTAAAGATCATAACCATCATCCAAACTGTTGCTTTAATACAAGGTATCTATCTATCTATCTATCTATCTATCTATCTATCATTGAAATGTTTGGGATGAGTAAGGATTTTCAATAATTCTGAAAGAAGAAGATTATGTTCACAAAGGCTGCATTTATTTAATCAAAAGCAGCCACAAACTGTAATATTGTTAAATATCACTGCAGTTTTAAATAACTATTTTATGTTTACAAAATTATATTTGTCTTGTTATGGTAAATATCCATTATCAGCAGCTAGTAAGAAATCGTTATAATATGTTGGTTTGGTACTCTAAAATTTCTTATTAATATCACAGCTGAAAATGATTGTTCTGCATAATGATCTGTGAAAAACTGCTAGTGTCTTTTCAGGATTTTTTTTTATAAAAAAAAAAGCATGTATTTAAACTCTTTTGTAAAATTTTAGATGTCTTTATTGTCATTTTATATTAAGGTAATGTGTCATTGCTAAATTCAAAATAAAAACATTATCTTTCAAAACAGAAAAAAAGTAATAAAATAATAAAACAGTGTTATAAACAAATAAAACTAATTTAACATCTATTGTGATAGGGCTTTCTCTTCATTAGCTCTAAGGCGAGTGAAATCTCTTTGTGTTTTTAAATCTTCCCTTAAAGCGTACTTGTTTTAGGGTAGATTTATTCCATTATTTTGTGATTGTTTTATTCTATACTGTTTGTTTTATTCTATTTGTATTGTGTATTTGAATTCACTTCTTTTTGATGAATGCATTTCTTTTATATGTTCGTATTTCTCTTTTGTTTTATCTTATTCTTGCAATGCGCTTTGAGATTTACTTTTAACTGAAAATTGAGTGTTTACTATTGTCCTTTTGCATTGACACACTATTTTCCTATTTAATACTGTAAAGCTGCTTTGACACAATCTGTATTGTTAAAAGCGCTATGTAAATAAAGGTGAAAAAAAACTTTTAAAGGTGCTATAGAAAATAAAGTTTGTTATTATTATTATTATTATTATTATTATCTATTAAAACCATGGCCATATGCAGGGTTTTAGAAATACCAAGGTCCGATAACTAAGTCCTTTTGGGGAGTTTGGGGCCCCCTGAAAAAAAAAAAGATTTCCTTGATCTACATATGTGTGTTTTAAGACGTCTGGAGGGATAACAATAGGTTTAAAAACCATGTCAGTCTTTTTCATTTTCATGTCTGTGAAAAAAAAGGAAACATGAAAATTATGACAAATTAAAAAAATATCAATTGGTTGTAGAGTAAGACAATTTGAATAGGTAAATGATAATAGATTGATAATAGAATTATTATTTTAGGTGAACTATCCCTTTAAAATTTGAGCACAGACCAGCCCATTGATATACAAAGAATGCAGATACCTTCTTGTCGAAAATAGAAAATGAAAGGAATAAATAAGGAGATGTATAAAGAAAAATCCTTAAAGAACTAGATTTTATTGTATAGTAATGCATTTAAACAATTACATTTTTTAAAATTTAATATGATAAATGACTGCCTAACCACAGCCTATAAACACACTTGACAAAGCCACACGTTCGACCATGTAGGTCTGATGATGATCATTTACTGAAAGGTTAACAGGAAAGTCTAAGTTCATTAAATTAATTCACAACATGCATAAGCTTTTTCCCATAAAATTTGCTTAAATACAGTAAATACACAAAGTTTATTAATATAACATACACAAGACAAAATAAGAACTGAATTTATAAAAAATGGCCTTGTTCTAAGTTTACATACACTTACACTACGCTAGTAATGCAGTGTGTTGTCCCCTGGATAGTCCACAACTTTTTGTTTTTGTGCTATTTGTTCATGAGTCTCTTGTTTGGACAAATGAAAGAATCAAACACAGATTTGATACAAAAAGTGCAAACATTCGCTGATTCTCAAGCAAACAGCGTGATACATTAAGAGCCGGGGTTGTAAAATTTTGAACAGGATGAAGATATGAATATTTATTTTTTAAAATATTATATTGTTTTCATTTAGGGCTGCCATTTAGAAGC